TCTGATCTGGTTTGGCAGAACCAATCATTGAAATTGAAAGATGAATGTGCTCATAGCATCTTCTGGAAGTGTTCTTTGAGTTATCTGATCTGGTTTGGTAAAACCAGTTATTGAATTTGAAAGATGAATGTGCTCATAGCATCTTCTGGAAGTGTTCTTTGAGTTATCTGATCTGATTCGGTAGGAACCCCAAAACCAATCATTGGATTTAAAAGATGAATTTGCTCATAGTAGAAATAAGGAGACCCAATAGCATCTTCTGAAAGTGTTCTTTGAGTTATCTGATCTGATTCGGTAGAAACCCCAAAACCAATCATTGGATTTAAAAGATGAATTTGCTCATAGTAGAAATAAGGAGACCCAATAGCATCTTCTGAAAGTGTTCTTTGAGTTATCTGATCTGATTCGGTAGGAACCCCAGAACCGATCATTGGAATTGAAAGATGAACTGCATGATCATCTTCATTAAGAAGCTTCTTTTCAAGCTTCCTCTGCTTCTTCCTTTTCCACAAATCATAGCCCAAGTTTCGCCTTTGCTTGTAATTAGGATCATTGCATAATGGCTTCCCATCTTTTACCGGAAGAAATGTGTCAGCAGCCTTAGCCATTTGAGCAGCACATATAAAATTTGTCAATTTTGCAATTGATGAATCTGGACCACATCTCTCCATGGCTATTGAAGCTTCAGCCTCTGAAAATCCCATTTTTGTCAAGTATAACAGTTTATTCTCCTCATCAGAATCAGAATTCAAGATTTCTCGGTATTAAAAGAACTATCGATATCTGTGAAATCATCTTGAAAGGTCATTTCATAATCAGATGAGTTGTTATCAGAATCAACATGTCGCATGAAGGCAAGCTTTTCAAGAGCCTATACTATTGAGTTTTATTTTCAAGATCTACATCTACATTTGTCAAAGATGATAGTTTCTCTGTTTTGAAGAAGAAAGATCTATTGGGTTTTTACAATTGAAGAAATACACAATTCACCAATCTGAAATCAAATAATTAACATTCATGCATCATATTTAGGCATTTGCAAAAATAGGTGCATTTTCATTCATTTTCATCCATGTTGAATTTTAACAGGAATTTCAAAGATTTTAGCAAAGATTAAAATCCATCATTTGATGGATCAGCTTTTCCAGAGAAAGTTCATAATAAGAAGAACTCATCTGAAGAAGAAGAAGTTCATAATGAGAAGAACTCATCTGAAAAAAGGAAGAAGAAGTTCATAATGAGAAGAATTTGTTCAACCTTTTGCTCAAATCCATCACTTGATGGATCAACTTTGCCAGAGAAAGTTCATAATGAGAAGAACTCATCTGAAAAACGGAAGAAGAAGTTCATAATGAGAAGAATTTGTTCAACTTTTTGTTCAAATCCATCACTTGATGGATCAGCTTTTCCAGAGAAAGTTCATAATGAGAAGAACTCATCTGAAGAAGGAAGAAGAAGTTCATAATGAGAAGAATTTGTTCAACCTTTTGTTTAAATTCACCAATTGATGGATTAACTTTGCCAGAGGAAGTTCATAATGAGAAGAACTCATCTAAAAAAAGGAAGAAGAAGTTCATAATGAGAAGAATTTGTTCAACCTTTTGCTCAAATCCATCACTTGATGGATCAGCTTTTCCAGAGAAAGTTCATAATGAGAAGAACTCATCTGAAGAAGGAAGAAGAAGTTCATAATGAGAAGAATTTGTTCAACCTTTTGTTTAAATTCATCAATTAATGGATTAACATTGCCAGGTAGAGTTCATAATGAGAAGAACTCGTCATCTGAAGAAGAAGAAATTCATAATAAGAAGAATTTGTTCAACCTTTTGCTCAAATCCATCACTTGATGGATCAGCTTTTCCAGAGAAAGTTCATAATGAGAAGAACTCATTTGAAGAAGAAGAAGTTCACAATGAGAAGAGTTTGTTCAGCCTTTTGCATAATTCTATCATAGAAGGAGATAGATTAGCATCATCCCCAGCGGAAAGTTCATAATGAGAAGAACTCATATGAAGAAAGAGAAGAATTTATTCAACATCTCCATATTAATCAGGAGGAGTCAATTGAACAAAAATTTATTGTCTTTTCATCTTTGCTCTATTCTTGTTAACACAAGAATGAGCGAAGAGGGGCAGTTGTAGACACTAAATTTTTGTCCCGGTTTTATTTATATTATTATTATTATATTATTATTTATTATATATTTTTATTATTAATATTATTATTACAACCAGGCCCAGATTACAATACCCAATACCTGGAGCCTAATTCTGGCCCAAACAGACTGGCCCAAACCTAATAATAAACCCTAAACCCTCTTAGGGTTTCAGCATCATCTCTCAGCCGTATTTCTTCTCAACCGTTGGATCTGGCCTTGATCCAACGGTCCTCAGATGTGCCAGAGGAAACCCTAGGGTATCATTACCCTAGGGCCATGCGCCGCCGCCCCAGTTTCCAATCACCGCTGCCGACACTCTTTCCCACCAGCTGTTGCCACCACGTCTACCGAAGACTCCAGAAGGCCGGCCGTAGCCGCACACGTCTTCCCCAAACGGTGAGTCACCACTGGAAGTCCGGTGACTCACCGAAGAGCCCCTTTTGGACCGGTCCGATGGCCACACCGGTGATGGCTATAAAGCCATCACCCCATCTGCGAACAAAGGGAGAAAAAAAAACAGAGCCGGAGAGAGAGAAAACAGAGAGAGACCAGCAAAAACAGAGAACAAAAACAAAGAACAATAACCCACAATCCACAGTAAACCAAAACAGAAACAAAAAGAAAGGAAAGAAGCTTACCGAGGAAGCCACCGGACCTCTTCAAACTTCACCAAAACCTTCGAAAACCGAAGGTATTTCTTTAGATTTGCTCCGATCGGGAGCTATTTAGGAGAAAAGAGCACCGAAACCGTCCTTAGGACGGTCCGATCTACCTAATGATGTAAAAATAAAATTTTCCGGCCACCGGATGCGGTGGCCGGCGGTGAAGGTCACGGCGGCAGACGGTTGCCGTCCGGTGACCGGCTTCCCTCCGATGAGGGAAGCTAGAGAGAAGGGAGAGCTTTTTCATTCTCTCTCAGTTAGAGAGAGAATGAAAAATAGAGAATGAGAGAGCTGGCCCGAAGGGCCAGCCGTTTCTGGCTTTAAATAGCCCTTCCCGAACGACGTCGTTTCGGGGAGGGCTATTTGTGTAATTATTAATAGTTAAATCCTTTCCGCAGTCATCCTAGTTTATAAACTTTCCATTTTAGTCACTAAATCGAGTTTATAATCCTTTTAATTCGGTTCTTTAATTTCAATTTTATTTATTTTAGTCCTTTATATTAAAATAATATATATAGGGTAAATAACAGATTTAGTCCTATAATTTTAATAATTAATATTTTAATCTGAATAGTATGTTTTAATTTATTTTATTCTAATATCCGAATTTTATATAGTTTTATTTTAGTCACTAAATTAATAAATAAAAAATAGCATGTTTAATCCCTATAATCTTGATTAATATTGAATTAGGTTTTTAATTTTAATTTACTATAATTTAGTCAATAATTTTAAATATTTTTTATTTATTTTATTGCTTTTAAATATATAGTTCTAATTGTATTAATTTTACTTGTTTATATATTTAAATATTTTTATTATTATTATGTAGTCATAAATATATATATAATAAATAAATATTTTTTTTTTTTGTTTTTTTAAATAAATTATTTTTAACATTTATTATTCAATATCGAAGAAAAGGGCAGTCTTAATACAATTGGATGTCCTATTCTGGTATTTTAAAATTAAATATTATAAAAAATTATTATTTAATTTTATTCAAATTAATATTTATTAATATCAAAAAAAAGAGCTGTCTTAAGGCACCTAGAAGTCTTTTTCCGATATTTTTAAATATTTTTTATATAATTTTGAAATAATAGGATTATAAATTAAATATATTTTGAATTTTTAAATTTTTAATAATAGAGACAATTTATAATTAAAAAGTACCAATTTTGGGCGTTGTAGGGGTGCTAATCCTTCCCTAAACGTAACCGACCACGAATCCCTTTTTATTATTAAAAAGAATGAATTTTTGGTTATAAACGTAGATCAGTTCATTTTTTAATTGATGTTTTCTTAAAAAACTCTTTTAAAAAAATAATTTTTAGGTATTCGACCTACCTGACTCTAAAGGCCGATGGCGACTCTCAAATTATTTTCAAAAACCATTTATTCACATCAATTTTCCCGCCAAATAAATATTTCGTACCCGGACGAAAACCGGTTACGACAAGTTGGAAACAGAAGGCTCTACGACTGCCTTTGGATTAGCTAATTAGTGTGCTCGTAATGTTTTTATCTCTTGTATTAAAAAAAGATAAAAATAAATTTGGTTTTCGGGTATTTTTAGGTATTTATAATGAAAATATTTAAATTTATGATTCAAATATTTGATCTCCTGTTTTCACGAATTTAACAGTTGGTCTCGGATCATAAAATAGCGCTTAATCGAATAATTGTTGATCCATACCCTTTTATTTTGACTTTTAAAATAAATTACACAATTTATCACTCGATTATCTTTTTCAATTTTATTTTAGTTACTAAATTTAAAAAATAATAAGAAAATATGTCACATCATAAAAGGATATTGATAAAATAATTTTTTAACTAATCCAGGGTAAGTACAAGGTAGTTTAAATATAAACTCACAATCATTTGACATTGAACGCTCACACCCCTAACATCATTGACTATAGAAATGGGACTTTAAGAAATAATAATAATTTATTTACCACTTAGGCCGCTTGGTTTGTGATGATAAAATAAGTTAAAGTGATAAAAATGAGAGCAATTTGAAATTTTAATTTAAATTGAAATTTTTTAAACTTGAGTGACCAAAGTAGGAGTTAAAAGATAATTCAGTGATAAATGGTGCAGTTTACCCTTATTTTATATTATTTTATCAAAACAGCACCGTTTCTGCTGTTTCATTATTCAGACCCCTCCCCAGCCTCCATTCTACAAACGTGGATTGAAAATTCGCAATCCCTAGTTTCTCATGGTTGCACGCAGCCACGCACCGGTCGCCTACATCGTCACAAGCGATCACTCACGGCCTTGCCCTCCATCGTCGGTTCATTTTCTGTCTTCCGTAGCGACAAGCAGCCAGAGACCCAGAGCTAGCCAAACCAACGCCATTACATTTACGCCAGGTACTCTCTAAATCTCTTCTTTGCACTGAAATAAAAGTGGGTAGCATTTGAGATGCCGTGTGTCTGTTTGATTTATCATCTTATATTCTCAATTTCTCATGCTTATATGTACTGGAATTTTGAGTTTAAACACGCTATGTTTGGTTCTATGTAACGGACGTATGATCCCCATTTAATGTTTTGGATGTTTGTTTGAGTTAAACATTTTGACTGCTTGGACTGGGTTGGACTACTATCCAAGAAAAATAAAGTTTAACATTTTGTCAGGAACCTCAGTGGTGTAGCAGCTTTGCTTATTAACATTTCGAAGGTTCATAATTTCAACTTCATCGACGACATTTGGATTAATGGCCTGCAAAAATAAAAATGTTAACGATAAAAATACTCAATTTTTCAGTAACTAATTAACCCTATTGTGTTCCAGACCTAAATTAAAATAATTGCTCACTTTTTCATATTGTTCTAATAATAATAAAAAATATTTAGGACCTTTTTTACATATAAATAGCAGTTTTTTATTTTTCTTTAATGCTCGTGTTTCTGCTCTATTGTCATTTGAGGGGTGTAAACATAACAAATATTTTGTTGCTATTGATTTGTATTTGAAGTACTGATGTTAGTTGTTTTGTACTTGAAGTACTCATGTTAGTAAACTTTGTTATGTTTTCCCTAATGCTATTGTTAGTATTTGATGTTACCGATGTTGGTTTGTATTTGAAGTACCAATGTGATGTTATTTTTGTACTGATGTTTGTAAGCTTTATAATGTTTTCATTATTACTAGTTTGTTGTGTTTTAGTAATGTTTCAGTTACCAATGTTAGTATGATTTATATTATATATAGTAGTATTTTTGTAAGATGCTGCTGTATATTTTTAATAGAAGAATGAAAAAGATACAGGGAGGGTTAAAAGTGTGAATGGTTGCTGCAACTTTATTTTCTTGCACTTTCCTCAGCCGTTCATACTAATTTGTGCTAATCTAACAGCAGTTGCATGTTAAAAGAAAACACAATATCAAAATGCGTTTAAAATTGCTGAAATGAACATGTCTCCTTTGTTTTTAGCAGGAAGTCCAGAGCCCAAAAGTATTTAGTACTTTTTGGAGACAGCCATTTGCATAATCATCTTCCAACGACCACGTTATGGATCGTCCACCTCACAACTTTGCAGCTGCATCTGCTAATTCCATGGCCTACACTCAACAGCAGCGACAAGTAGCAAATATTCAACAGCAATTTGGATTTCATCCACAACATCAACAATTCCCCACAACAGTGCCTGCTCCGTTCCTACAACCACATCCTTCTCAATTCCCATACCATCCACACATGCAAGTACAACACCAACCACAACTCCACCCTCAACTTCTTCATCTTCAGCAGCAACAGCAACCACCACCTAATTTCCCTTCACATCTGCCTCCCCACCTTGTTTCTTCACCTTTCCCTGGCGTTTATGATTCTCCTCCACTCCCTACTCCTCCTCCATCTGATCCTGATCTCCAAAAGCGTATTGACAAGCTTGTGGAATATGCAGCTAAGAATGGTCCTGAGTTTGAAGCCATGATCCGCGAAAAGCAGCAAGATAATCCTGATTACAATTTCCTCTTTGGTGGAGAGGGGAATGGTTACTATAGGTACAAGCTTTGGTTATCTACACGTCCCCAAAGTGGACCCTACCCTTCCTTTCCACAATCTTCTGTACCTACCATGCATCCTCCTACTAATCCTGCCATGAATCCTTCGTCTCTGAATGCACCAGCAATCGGCACTGGTCCTCCTCCTCCTCAATTGCACCAACCAGCTTTTCCTCCATTTTATGATCAGCAGCATCACTATCAGCATCCTCAGCCTTTCGTTGCTCTTGGCCGGCCAGATTATGTTCAGTCCTTCAAAGGCCTTTCTGGTCCACTCCCCTCTGATATTGCGATGGAGCTTACTAACATGCTTAGCAATCTAAATGGTACCAAAGAGTCAATCAAAAGTACCAAGATATGGTTCATGCAGAGGTCTCCATTTGCACCGGCTTTGGCTGAGGCACTTAGAGATAGAATATTTACTTTGGATGATTCAGAGAGGCAATTGCATGTGATTTACCTTGTCAATGACATTCTTTTTGACAGGTACTTCACTATGGCATATGGCACTGTTGTTTAGTTTGCAATGGCTTCTTAAACAGATCCTGTAATGTCTCTTTAATAGTTTGCTGAAAATGATTTATGCTTTATGAGACATTACTTCTGTTTTTCTTCCTGATCTCTTGATACCATAGATCTCTTTCTTCTATATTCTTTCCTTTTTGTTTTGGTACCTTTCCGATCTTGACTTGCATTCATGTGATTATTTAATTAAAAAATTATAGTTGAACAGTGGTATTCTAGATTAGAGTTCTCCTCTTAGATTACTTCTCTATATTTTGTCTGAAACTTGATTACTTGACCTTGTGGTTCTTACCTCACACACATGGAGATGTGTCCTCTTATTGTAATATAGCATTTTCTTATGTTTTAGTCATCCAGTTATATTAGATTGATGGAGTCGGAACTCGGAAGGTTAATAATCATACATAACCCTCCTTTTTTTGATAAAAATTGGAGGTCTCATTAAAACCCCCCTTCATATTTAGGCATACCTTTTGAGTATATCAACAAGTAGCTGAAGGAGGAGAAGAGTACCTCATTTATTATTAAATAAATATCTTTGTGATATCTTAGACATGCATCTTTAGAGTATTGGCTATTTTTTCGACTTGCATGATATTCTAGGTGACATTCTATACAACTTTGTAAGAAATCAACTTAAATCAACCTTCCTCATTAGTCTTTAGAGCATAGGCTTACATTCTTCTATAGTATCTGTCAATCACTTCAGCACCCAGATTGTATTCTCTCCAAAATTCATAATTGCTTCCTAGGCCTTTGCATGGTGTATTGGCACGGTTGCTCTTCTTGTTGTTCCCTGGTATTGATGCCATAATGTGACTGCTCCTTTGGAACCTTCTTGACATTTCTTTTCAATATTTGCAGTTTGCAGAGAAGGGCTAACCCTCATGACCTTGATAATGAAGCTCTTGCATTTAAACCTGTTTTAGGTTCAATGCTTGCAAGAATATATCACAATCCTCAAAATGGGGAAAACCGATCTCGTTTACAGAGAATTTTGCAGTTTTGGGCATCCAAGGAAGTTTACAGCCAAGATGACATATATGTCCTTGAGAGTGAGATGATTAGTGGACCACCAGGGCCTCCAAAAGAGTTGTCTCATGATTCAGTGGAGTCCTCAGTACCTGCAGGTTGCCTCTTCTATTCTAATAAAGGACTTCAGCCCTTGTGTGTCATTTCATGAATTTCTAATTTTCCTTTCTTAAAAATTTACTGTGCAGGAATTCTACAGGATACAACACACAATAATGTATCTATGTGGCAGCTTGACAAACAAAGTTCTATTCCAAATGTGCTGGACCAAGCTGATAAACAAGGGGGGCCTGCCTTGCTTCCATCACTAGTAAACCAGCAATTTCTTCCGAATTCAGTCCCTACTGGGGCTTTTCCAGGGTCTGTGCCATTAAATTCTAATCCTCAGTCTTCTAGCCAACAACAATCAGCAAATATTGGTGAAAAGTTGCCCGCTTATCCACTTTTCCCACCTGGTCTTATTCCTGGAATGGTTAGAAAAATGCAAATTGGGAGTGGGGTGCCTTACTGCCCCCTCAGTCCTTTGGATATCCCAACAGTTATACCTCCATCTGATGTATCACCATCAGAAGTTCTCGATAGAGTATCGAAGTTTTTCAAAGAGATTGGAGAGGTTAACCCTTCTGAAGGATCCTTGAAATCTAATTCTAGAGATGAGGATGATGAGGATGAGATGGAACCTCCTGTTCGTAGGGGAGGAGCTTGTATCCCTCCGCCCCCAAATCAGCAGGCAGACCCAGATTCAGGAGCTTATACTGAGCAGAAACCAGGTCCCAGTGGCTCAGGAAGATTAGGACTGGGAGCAACAGCCAATCCCAATGAGGCAAGTCAATATGATGATGTTTATATATCTTATAGAAAACAGAGAAGCACTTCGTACCATTCATCTATGAGTGCACGAGCTGCTACAAGGTAAAGCCTTTCAAATATCATTTGAAGATCCATAGAGAATGGAATCAAATAGTCCTTGTTCATTTATATGTTAGAAATAGTATTAACTTTCTTCGACAACGCTGAGAAGAGGCTTGAAGTTCTGCAATTATGCTTTTGTTGATTATTTTTTTGGGTGAGAATGTAAGTTTTGTCATGCATGGAGTTAATTAATCTCTTATTTCACTAGACTGCCATGTAATTAAAAAGTTTGGGTTTGCTAAGCAGGATCTTCCATCTAGTGCAAATACTAAACATAGGCTGTTACAACTAAAAATGTTGCGCAACCGGTAAGTAAAACGGTTCAAACCTAAAATGTTTTTGAAAAGACGCAATGAGTATCGAACTACATATATATTTAGTACTGGTACTGGATGTAGTATCAGTACCAAAGTCTCGAAAATTTTTGCCCAAATAATAAGTTTTGATACCTTAAGAATGATATTGATATTGTTCGTCGGGTATCAATATAATGGTATTGATGTTTTTCGAGTAGTATCGATACTGTTCGTTTGATACCAATATAGTGGTATTGATGCCATTTGAGGAGTATCGATACTTTTTGGAATATTGATACGAATTGTTGATGTATGGCATTAGTGGTGAAGTTAATTTTCTGAAGCATGCACGTATGTGGTTCTATGTTGATTTTGTGATGGAACTCGATGCTCATTGTAAAAATGAATACCCATCGTTTGTGTTGTAAGCGTATATCGTGAACTCGGAGAATGCAAGAGGGTTAATCACTTTCCTAATTAATTTTTCATCATCATAATTTTGATTTCATCTAACTTTATAATATTTTCGTGACATTATTTCATGATAATATTTTTTGTGTTATTAAACGTGATGTGTCAGTGGCTTGTTTAGTTTATAAAAATGGCACCACTATTGATAAATATAGAAAACAAGAAAGATACATGTAGGAACGAAAAAAATAATTAATTTATTGATTAAATGTATGAAAAAATTAATTGATTAAATTAGTGGTTTCTAAACTATATCGTTCATTAATATGATATAAAAATGAAATGACACCAATATAAAGATATCTTAACACGAATTATTATGTCGACTCCATATAGTAGAAATCATTCCCTATCTAAAAGATTGTTTCCTATAATCATTTTTCAGAGTATCTCTCAAGTAAGAATCATAACCTACTACATATTCGGCTTTTTCTATGGATTTTTTTATTAATAATATATTTTCGTCACTTAAAACTTAATAAATTCATCATTTCTAATATAAAATCTTACGTCGGTTTCGATTGCACGTATTTAGTCCTAGATTTTAATTTAATTCAAAAATTAACCTTCAATTAAGAGGTGCTAAGTGTTATCAAAATATTTTGACACATTTTACTGATACGTGTCCCCACTTGATTGGAGGATTTTTTAAATCCATTTTAATAATTTAATTAAATAAAATCCTCACTAATCAGGTGATCACATGTTTAATCGGAAAACAACCAATTTAAAATTACTAACGAAAATACTCAATTTAAGGCCCTGTGGTGTATAATGGCGAGCCTTAATCACTAGGGTAAACCCCATTTTTTGAATAATATAGAACTAAACAAATACTCACAACCCCTCAGCAGTAGATCAATCACCTCAATCGTAGGCGCGGTATGAATTACCACCCCAATACTTCTTCCTCGCGCCATGGCAGCAAGTTTATCCGCAACCATATGAGTTGTCCAATTAACATGGGCAATCTTCGTTTCCCAAGTGCGACGAAGTAATCCCCTTATCAGTGTAACGATAGCACTATCCTCCCTATCGTTCATTGATGTTGTGATGATTTCTTAGTGCATTTGTGTAGTCGACTATAACAGATGTTTCATAATTCCTTTAGTTCACCTTTCATCAAAACTCAGTCTCCAATCACATTTACCTCATGCCTTACCTCCTTTCTTTAAATTACATTTCATTAACTTTGACTTCTTTACTTTTGATTTTTTATGGGAGATTCATCTCGACACATAGAGATTAGTGTCATAATCTGAATGTAATCATATTCATAAAGTTAGGGCAATTGACATGGCCCATTACTTTAGTGAAATACCATTAATTAAAGGACTCGAGTGTTAGAAAGTCTTCGACTTGACAAAATCGAACGAAACTCACTTCATAAAGCTCGGACATTACCTCCATAGCTGCTTCTGACATTACCTCTGAAGATTAACAACTTACTACTTTCAGCGGAGTGCCTCTAGCGATGTTAAAATAAAATTTCATTAGTACCACATTACCCCCATTTTATCTGCTTTCACACTTACCTGAGTATCTAAGGGTTTTATTGTGTGGGGGAAATGTTTCTTTGGGTAAAATGTATGAGTATGAGGATGAGTCAAGGATAAATGGATTTTTTTGGGAATTTTTATCTTGTCATATGTAAAAAGACTATAACCTCAATTCCCAAATGTGCATTTTGTTATATTTGATATTCACTGAATTTAAAAAAAAATGCTCAATTGTTCATAGTAGGAAAAACAAATGACATTTATTTGATTGAAAAAAGTTCATACATAAAAATAAGTTAAATTCAAGCAAAACATATTATTCTCAAGCAACACAACTTCATGGGTGAGCTACGGACCTATTACCCCTCCATTACAGCATTAACTTCCACTTCTCTGTAATTAGAACTCTGAGTCACATTGGGATCGTCGAAATGAATGTGCTTTTTGTCTCGTAGCCTTTGGACGTCCTCTTAAATGCGGAACAACTTTTTATGGAATGCCCCGAGATGCCACCATGGTATTCGCAATGTATGCTCTCATCGTACCACCTAGGGTATGGTGGTTTTAGAGGATCCACTGGATAGGGTGATACCATATGCTTGTCATAAAGTTGTAGGAATAAATCCTCGTATAACATAGGAATAAGGTCAAATTGCCCTGGATAATTTGATGATGTAATTGTCGTTAACTTTGGTCGAGAGACGGTGACATTGTTGACCTCCCCTTCCTTGTTCTATGAAGATGGTCTCCTATAGGATTTATTCACTTCTATCTTTCCTTGCTTGATAGTCGTCTCTACCATTTCACCGTCCATCACAATGTCAGCAAAGCTCCCAAAAATGATTGCCACTAAGTGTCCGAAGAAAAGTGCCTTGAGAGTGTGTACAAAAAGTTTCCTTGTTTCCCTCTCATCCAAGGACAGATGAACTTGTACGATGATTTCTTTTCACCATTGTGCATACTGCCTAAAGCTCTCATTGGACTTTTTTTTCATTTTTTGAAGCATCACTCGGTCGGGTCTCATGTTGTTTACATGTTTGTATTGTTCTAGAAAAGACCTTGCAAGGTCCTTCCATGACATGATGTGGACTCGGTCCAGTTGATTATACCAATTGATTGTTGAACCCGTCAAACTCTCTTAGAAGCAGTGTATCAGGAGGTGGTTATTTCCAACATGCCCTGTCATCTTCTGACAGAACGTTGTGTTATGAGCAAAGGAACAACTATTCCCATTAAATTTTTCAAAGTTCGGGACTTTGAACTTAAGGAGAGGATTAAGTCTGGGACCAGACTCAACTCCGAAGCATCAATCCCATATAAAATATCTTCTCCTACCCTCATCTGGTCTTCCAATTGCTTTATCTTATCTTTCATCTTCCTAGATTTGTCTTCCTTGTCAAAGTCTTGGACCTGGCAATCTTCATGAATATTGGTAATCGTCGCTTTCCCCTTTATGGAAAAAGAATCTCCTTGGTACCCTTGGAATTTCTCAGGTGTGATCACTAATTTTGGCGGTGGTGGCATCACTATTACTTTTTCAGATCCTCTGCCCCACGAACGCTTGCAAAATTCATTCCTGCTAGGCTGGCCACGATCTGATCGACCAAGCTATTATTATTCTTTGCAATGGTGTCCATGGTGGATTTTTGATTCTCTTCTATCTCTTTCTATAGCTTTACGAAGTTATCTTCAATTTCTTTTAATCTAGCATACATTCTTCTTGCTTGAAATCGAATGATGATGGGTAATGGTACCAGTATCTTTTCTGTTACACAACATTCCCTTTATTATTAATTTATTCTTTTTAATATGCATGCATGCTATGACATTAATGCAATGCTTTATGTAATATACAAATCAAAAAGAGGCACTGATCCATGCCTCATTATAAAATAACTTTCATTGGAAAGAAAAGTCCCAAATATTGCAAATAGTTCGATTACATGTACGACTTAGCCCTTCTTGTTTGTAGGGCCTAGTGATTCATGCTTTATGCGAGGTATCGTAATCTTCTATTTGAGTCTGTCAGCCACTTTTGAGGTTACATTTGTAGGAGAGACTCCTCTAAATCAATCTAAAGTGAAATATAGTGGTGGACTATCTCCATACTCATGTTGTGTTGCTTCTGACCAAACATATACCCTTAATATGAAGCTAAATGCTTTGAGTACCATTAGTTCAAAATTTTTTAATTTGATGGGAAATTCATGGATCATTCATTTTATAGTACGTTAATGTGATGCAATGAACAAAATGAAATCAAAGGAAATAAAAAGGAAATTAGTTAGTAAAATAATAAATAATAAATAAAGGCAGCAAATTCTACCCCCACAAGTTTTCCACCCTCCCTCGTCATGGTAAAGATAAAATCCTACCCAAACATGATTTCTACACACATGTTTTATTCGGAAAGAAAATAAATCTTAACCGCATAATTTCTAGTTCACACGATTTTTACTTGAAAAATAAAGAAAAATGATAGAAGTCGATTTCTCCTTTGTGTACACTTAATTGGGAATTCCTATAGGTTTGACATGATTTCAATCCGGATATATTTCTATGTTTCATTACATGCATGGTTTCGGCTCTATGGTTAAAGGTACTCGAATTATCCTTGTTGGTGACCTTTGGTCTTGCCAAACCCTCAATCTTAAACCCCCATTATAGGCTCGTATGGATAAAGTTAAATTCGAGAGGATACACTTCCCTATGCCTAACACGGAGAAACATATCCCACGAAGGCATAAGGTGTGGACCTCGAAGGTTACTTACTAGGCGTGGCACGAGGAAACATATCCTACGAATGAGCCACTTTCACCCCACTTAAAAGGGATAAC